AACTTTATTGGAGATTTGCAGAGATGTGAGCACTCTGCAGATAGGCCAATGAAATTGCGCAGGATGCGCGAATTCCAATACAAGTGCTGTCTTTGCGCTTGTAAAGAGCAGGCCAAGGGGGAGTGTGGCTTCCCGGTGGGAATAGAGCCAAGAGAGCGTGTGCTTCTCAGTTGGAAGTGTGCCAAGAGAGAATAAACTGGGTGGGGTCCCTAGTTTTAAAAGTTCTGTTGCCTGTTTTATTGCTTTTGGGCTCATTCTATTGGGAAAGGGGTGGTGGTGCTGTATAGGATGTTTCCGTTTCCTGTTGACTGCATGGGAAATGCAGTTATGTGGGCCCGACACTTCGAAAATCTAAAATTTGCGCTTGGGAGCGGTCTTCGCACTTGAGCGTTCCTCACTGCCCTCTCTTGTAGACACTGGTTGTGCCTTTTATAGTACTAAGGTGACTATGTTGCAGCTACTTAGCTTTTGGTGTTACAGGTAAAATTCGTATGGAAATTTATAATGGTGTTTGGACAGTTTCCGGCATTGCTCAAACTTGTATTAATTTTATGAGCCTGCTTTCGCCGAGATTAGCCAAGGGGGTATACAGATGCAAATCATCAATTCAAATTCATAGTTTATTGCCAAATGTGATATGCTTTTGCACTTGTAGTCCAGTTTATAGTCCACTTTTGTGAAAGCCATATCCACTACACTATCAGACTACTCTTGGCTAGCAACATGCCTAGAAATGAATGGATAACAGTGAATAGCTATTATTTCGCCATATAGCTAGCTAATTAACATTAATATGCATCAAATATAACTAGCTAAGCCAGGGAACTATCTAGCCAGCCAGCTAGTTGGCTAATTACATCTTGTGCACATTAATCGGCAGGAAACCATAAATAGTTCTTTAGCCGTTGCTTAGTGTCATTTAGCAAGCTAGCTAGCATTAATTTTCACCAAATATAACTAGCCGAGCTAGCAAAATTGCTCACTAGCTTGTTCGCTAGCTTAGCTTGTGAGCTAGTTAAGTCAATAAAAACAGTGAATAGCCATTATTTGGCTACTTAATGAGTTGAGCTGCGAAAATTTCTCTAGCTGGCATTTCCTTGCATCAGATATGATGTTGGCCAACTACCGAAGTCGGTAAATTGGCTTGCTGACTAAGTTAGCTGGCTAACAGTAAGTTTGCTTGCTCAGCTAGCCTTACTTGGTGCATACAAATCACTAGAAACCGTGAATAGCAACTATTTTGTTACTTGCGTCAGATGAGCAAGTAGACGTGAATTAGCTATGTATCAAGGTCAGGTAGGCCTTGACCAGGCTGATTAGCTCATTCGCTAGCTACCAAGTTTTTAAGAAGACAAACATTGGCCAAAGATGTTTGGCTTTTAAAATAAATTGGCACTAGTTGCAAAACTTGATATCTAGCTAGGTAGGCGTAACTAAGTAGAATGTAAAGTAGCTAACTGATTAGCATAATATGACAAGGTGCAGGAAACCTCTAATGCATTATGAACTCGTTCTGTCAGGGAATCAGGAGGATCATATAATGTAATGTTTTTAGACTACAAAGCAGATTAGCATGGTGGCGAAAAAATAAAATGATCTCAATTATGGCCAACTCCAGTCAAGAAAAATATCATCAGCAGCTCTTCTCGTCTTGGCAGACGGTCTAGCAGGGGGTCTCAGTTTTCTCAGCTTGGCCGGACAGCTTCTCTCGTGGCTGATTCTCCCAATGTTGGCTCGGCAGGCCTTCCCGCAGAACGCGCAGCAACACTGCCCAACATCATTTGCCTCAGCTTTCTGCTTTCATCTATGCCTCGCAACTGCTGTCTTCCTCTTCCTAGCAACCCTATATCTTCTCATACCACTGTTGATGGCTGACCTCCATCTTACTCTATTCTCTGCGATTTGCTCCCAACTATCTTCACTGATGTTAAAGTCTCTGAGGGTGGATTTGCATACATCCTTGTATCGCAGCTTTGGTCTTCCTCTGGGACGCTTACCAGTTGACAATTCGCCATACAACACTTTCTTTGGCAGTCTAGCATTTTCCATTCTATACACATGGCCAAGCCAACGGTGTCTATTTTGAAGAAGGATTTCAAACAATGACGGAATGCCAGCTTGTTGTAGCACCTGCTCATTTGAGATCTTGTCCTGCCACTTTATCTGCAAGATTTTCCTCAGACAACGTAGGTGAAAGCTGTTCAGTCTCTTCTCTTGCCATGAATAGAGTGACCAAGTCTCACTACCATATAATAGGGTTGACAATACGCATGTATAATAGATCAATACCTTAGTCTTCCTTGTGAGTTTTGCATTTTCCCATGCTTTCTTACTGAGTTTTCCAAAAGCGGCAGCAGCTTTGCCAATCCTCACGTTTAGTTCGTGATCAAAACAGAGGATGTTTGACATCACGGATTTCAGGTAAGTAAACTTGTCAACTGCACGGAGTGCATTTCCATGTAGCATGATGCCTGGAGGGACTGCTATGCCTTGCCCCATTACCTCTGTCTTTTTGACACTGATTGTCAGGCAGAACAGGTCACAGGCACGGGCTAGGTTGTCCAGCTGTCTTTGCAGAACCATCTCCTCATGGGCCACAAGTGCAGCATCGTCTGCAAACAGCAATTCTCTTAACAAGTGTTTCAATTGTTTTGCCCCTTGCTCTGAGTCTTGCTAGGTTGAAAAGTGATCTATCTGTACGTGAGTGGACATCCTGAGTCCCATCAAAGGCACAGTGAAGGAGTACAGCGAAGTATATGCTGAAGAGGGTAGGTGCTAGTACGCATCCCTGCTTAACTCCCTTCTTGACAGTGAAGTACTCGGACATAGAGCCTATCTATATATGCGTCGTTTCAGGAGCTACAGGATTCTGAATATTCAACAGACGTTTGTGGTTTACCTTCCTCAATAAAGCTGGAGTTTGCAATTAAAAAAAAAAAATCACTTTTTGTCATATTTGTTAAAACTGTTACTATGACCTGACGGTGGGATGTGAGTGAGATGATCTTTGAAAAAATCAGTCATCTGGCTCCATCTAGTGCTTCTAATTCCTTCAGCAAGATTTCACCGCGACCGGGACAAAACAACCAATCAGAGCCAGGAGGAGTGACTGACGATGTCAATCATTTCTCGTGCACATGCAGCAGGCCGCCCCCTCCCGTGCACTTTTAATCTGCCTTCGTCTGGCCTCTGGAGTTTTACCGAAGCAAAGAATCAGGGGGCATGGCTTTGGTCAGAGACTTGAGGGGAGGGGTTGGGTTTAGAGGTGAGGCTACATTCAAATCTTGCTAGCTGTTCCAAGATTGCATGCTCTAGCTTTAAGAAAAATGCGTGATAACGTGTTTGAAATTAACAGGAATGCAAGCTGAGAGCAATTTACCAATTTACTGGTTAATTGAAAATTGATGAAGTACAGTTCATCCTTTGAAAATAATTTATTGGTCTTGACCTGTTTCTGATCAGTCATTTAAATTAAATTACGTAAACTCTGAAAACATTCAATATAATCAGGATTGATCTGTTTTTTTCAATTAGGAAAAACAAGAAAGAAAACTCATCTTTATATTTCAATCAATGTTATCAATTTGCTGATATTTGTGGCTAATTTTTGCTTTTTTGTGGTAATTAAATTATCATGAAGCTAAGAATAGATGTAGCAAGATGTGCTTAAAACAAGCACATGGTAGTTTGTTTTTTGGAAAGAGAGTAAAACATTTTCAATTTAATTCTTGCAACATTGCATGAAGAGTGAAGCATTGTGTTAAACTGCCAATGGCTTTTTCTTGTCATTAAAAAACTTGGGAATCGAGGAAAATGGTTGAAAACAGATCAAGTCCCATCAGTGCTCATCTTTTTTCATGAGCAGAACTGCCCACACTAAAGTAATTTTAATTAAATGATTGGAAATAAGTTGAGACCCGTCATAATTTTCAAGGGATGTCTGTGCTTTATAAATTTTAAATTCACTAGCCGCAGCTGTTAGTTATACAGCTTAGTCTTTGCAAATGAGTGAATCAATGCTTGGTTACAGAGTAGATGTGAAGAACGCATAAGCACACTCGCATTCTCAACGCGATAATTTATGTTTACCATCATTTGGACACAGGTCTTCTTTGGAACTTAGCGAGTCGATGTAATACCCAAATGACTTTGGTCGAAACCGCTGGTAATTTTTAGCTTGACAGCACAGGTAAAACTAATCCGTGCAATGATCGCTAAAAAAACTTTAAAGTAGGCTGTGACCTTTAAATTGTGTTCCCATACTTCAACATTACTCAATGATCAAACTGATTCATTTCCATTTTTGGGGGGTGAAATAAGCAAAAATGTGATCTGTCGTACGGGACACAGAGAAATCACTATTTTTTTTTCCAACAAAGTCTTTTCAAGAACTCTGTGAATAGGCTATTGAAAACTTCTGGAAAATAGTGTAGAAATGTGACCCTCCAGCACCAAACCAGTCACATGGGTCAATTTTCCAAATATGAGTTTTTGAGCTCATCTGAAAGGGCATTTAATAAGCTTTCCAATGATATATAATTTGTTGTCATAGGATTAAAATTGGCCGAGAAAAGTGCAAAATAATTTTTCAAATTTAGCTGACATGACCTAGGCCTACATTAGCCTGATGAATCAGCTGAGTAGGAAAGATGCGATGTTTACATTGTTTATACAGCATATCAGAATCCTTTCTGCGCTGTATACATCTGCGACAAACTAAACAAATTGACTGGCTATGCGTCTGTAAACAACTCACCTGAATTTTGTGGCCTTTTCCCATTCAGCTTGCTCAATACCATCGGTGTCATTCGTCACGTATTCCTCAGCAGCGTCATTTTTTTCATTACCGATTTGAACGTGGCCTGGGTTGGATCAAATTCATCCTCAGTACTTTCCTCATTGCCGTCAAAATCCGAGCGGACACTTTCTTTGTCATCTTCCCAAGCCTCTGAGACATGAGTCCAATAAATTTGAGGAATCTGGTTCGTTTACAGTACTGGGCAGCACGGTGGTGTAGTGGTTAGCGCTATCACCTCACAGCAAGAAGGTCGTGGGTTCAAATCCGGCCTGGGGCCTTTCTGTGTGGAGTTTACATGTTCTCCCCGTGTTTACGTGGGTTTCCTCCGGGTACTCCGGTTTCCCCCACCCACAAAAGCATGAATTTTAGGAACACTCCTGCCAGTACCCCTGACCAAGGAACTGGCTTTAGAACTGGAGTTGGTCCCCGGGCGCTGCTCTGTGGCTGCCCACTGCTCCTAACTATAGGATGGGTCAAATGCAGAGGACAAATTACCCCACTGGGTTCAATAAAGTGTGTCATATCTTGTCTTGTCTTATCTGTATAAAGAAAGTATTGGCACCAGACTGAACTGCGCTTGCGCAGAGCTCCGCGGAGCTGAATTTATGTACACACGGCTGTATCTAAAAATACGGCCTTGCGACTTCCGACTGGTTTGGTGCTGGAGGGTCACAAATATTGAAGAGAGTCTGCTGTATTGTGTTAAAGCAGTATTATTAAAAAAAATCAAGACATGAATTCAACAGGGTTTAAAAATTCTAGGGGGTATCTGTCGTACGGGACAGAAAAAAATCTGTCATACGGGACGCTCTGACTTGAGCTCAGGTTGTTACTGAAGCACTGCCCCCACCTGTTATTGCACTTGAAACTTGAACAGCTAAAGCTAATTAAATAATAAGTGAGTACTTTGTAACAATTCATGTCCCCTCAGTTAACTCTGGTCCTGTGATAATTCCGTACCTGCCGAACGGGACAAAGTATCTGTCGTACGGGACAACTATTATCTGTAAAAACCGATCAACCTTTCCTGCCTCATTATTTACCAACTTCTTTTCTTCAGAGCACAGCTTGAAATTCTACCATAACAAACAGTACACAAATCACTAGATAAAGCTCAGAATGATTGAGAAATGACAAGATGTGAACCATGAAACACACGTACTAGTAAAACAAATTACTATCTGTTCATTATTCCATTGCCAACTTGGATGCTGCATGTTGCCTCAGGGTGCTTTCACACTTGGGACTTGGGCACGGATCCGACTACACTTGACCCTTAAGTCCAGTTTATTTGTTAAGTGTGAACATAAGTGTACCGTGCTCGGGCACGGTATGCAAGACCGCTTGGAAGAGGTGGACTCGGGCACGGTTCATCCATACTCGTACCGAATGTGAAAGCAACCGTATTCGAGCACGGAAGTGGAGTATCACGTGACATCTTAACTTTTCGACTCTTTTGTTCTCACACACATAGCTGCAAGAGGATCTCTCTGGTTAAACAAAGAAATTGGGCAGACGAATCTCCTCATCAGTTAGTAGACATATAGGGCTACCCAAAAGAAAAGGTTTCATCAAAATCGGATGAGGGCACATGGAGAACTTTGCCATCCCAAAATGCCAAATTTCACTTTTTCCTTGAATATAGCGCCACCTATATTATTGCGCCCTCAACATCCCACACTAAATTTGTGTTGATTACGTAAAGGACGTCCCATGGTATCATATTATGAATAAACCGTCTTGGGCTGTTGAGGGCACAGTCTGGAAATGCCCCTGATATTACAGCTCAAATGACCAAAAGTAGCATCTTGCAGCGCCCCCTATAGGATGCACCCTCGACAGCCCACAAACATTTTCAGATTATTGTGAGCCCTACTCACAGTAGATTGACGTATGTGAAACCGAATGTGGGCTGTTATCAGCGCAATTATATAATTGCATTTAAAAACTGATTTTTTTTTTTTTTTTTTTTTTTCCCCCAGCGCTCATCTCTGGATCCTTGGCCCTTCTGGTACCCCTAAAAAAGAAACCAAAGGGTATTGGCACCTAAAAATGTGCAGTTTTGCTATCGAACCAACCATCTTTCACCAACAAAAATTTATCATATATCACCCTCTGCCTGATTCTTAGAAAAATTGACTCTTAGAAATCACCTAGGTGCATACTGCTACCTGTATCGGAATTTTGATAAAATAATCCGTACGCGGGCATGGTACAACGTCGCTAGTGTGAAGGCTGACAGCGGGGGGAGAGGGGAGGGTGGACAATTGTACTGTGGCACGGTACGGAACAATCATACCTAGTGTGAAAGTGCCCTTTGGCTCGGGGCCTTTGGAGTTTTCAGGGGCAAAAATGTCCTCGCCCAAGTGACAAGGTATTATGCTCTTTTCTCATTTGAAGGGTTCATTACATATGCTATATTTTATACATTGTTATTCAGCCAGTCTGACAGTGCATAAAATGTACACAACCACAGTGCATGTTCATGCATGAGACAGTCAGTCAGGACAGTCAACTCTTTTCTGTCTTTCTAATGCAAAAAAACTAATGAAATACACAGACATGGCGTCACAAATGTCTTTAACAATTCCTTTAATGTCAAGACAATTTCAATGTTTTACGTACCTCTGAATTGGTGACTGATACCATTAAGAAACACTCAACAGCCACTAGCATACCCTTGAAACAGTCACTTGCCTTCTATCTGTGGAATTTTCCATTCACTAATGCCCCCTATTGTCTCAGAGGTGAGGAATTAAAGGGACACGTATTGTTTTTCAGGTAGAACTAACCAACTGACAAATAACTGCTTTGAGATTTTAAGCAGTTCTGTAAAGAACCGCACCAATGATCTGTCGTACAGGACATGTCCCGTATGACAGACAATGTGTCGTACGGGACAATACTTTTTAGGCTAATTATGTGAAAACTAATTAATGTAATTTTGGGGAGACAGTTGCATTTTAGTACCTTTTAGTCTAAAATTAGAGGATTTGAAATAAAAATTCTCCAGCTCAAAAAATGAAAAAATGGCAAGAACTTTTTGCCTTCAATCTGTCGTTCGGGACATGACGATAAACAGCCCGTCATTTATCTTTTTTCTCCATCAAGCAAAGGTTCATGTGACCGTCACTTTGCAAGTGGACAGACTTTGCTCTAGATAGGTGACTCGTAAAGATTAGGAAAAGTGATATCAATTAGCGGGAAATTAAGGCAATTGATTGAAAATTGTGGAAAATAGAAAATTTGACATTTCATGTCTCCTTTTAATGCCACCCCAAATCACCATTCTGCAGTCACGTACGTGAGAAAACCTACTTGTTCTAAATGACTTGTGTATTCAGGGTTACAAAGCATAATAGACCAGTCAGTTAAAGGGGACCTATTATGCTGATCCTTCTTTTAATACATATAGGTAATGTTATAATGTTGGATGTCCATACTCAATCTCTGAAAAGTTTCTAAACACAAGATACCGGGGTTTTGCCGTAATCCAAAAACGTGATTTCGTGAACGTGCTTTCCTCTCTGAACAGCTCCTCCTGAGATCTTCACGAGATCTGGGTAAAACCTGACGTTAGGTTGTGCCGTCCAATTAACACAGACCTAGCCAGAGCCAATCACGGCGCTGGACCTGCCCACACCGGAAACTATTCTAGCAGGCATTAACAACGGCAGATCATACTATGCCTTAGTAGCGTCTACACTTTTGGAAATACAAAAGAAGAACCGCAGATCATTTGAGGTGCAGTTTTGTCAGTATCTCTCCCAAAGCTGCTTGTCCATTTACTTTTGGACACAAAGAAAAGCACCTATTTCTCTTCCAAAAGACGATGCCACCAGAAATCAGTGGGTAGCTTTTTTTGTTTGCTGGCAGCAAACAGCCACGGCCAAAGGGTACGTTAGCTGTTTGTGCTCAGCATTTCACCAAAGACAGCTTTGTCAATAAAGGATAATTCGACACAGGATAAGCGTTTCAGCTGCTTCTCAAACCTGAAGCAGTTGCATCTAACGATATAACGGCAAATAATGTAAGTGAAGCTAACATGATACGGGTGGCTAGATGGACCGCTAACGATTGTTAGCTCTAACAACTGGCCTCAAACGCAGGCTTTGTAAAATATCTTTAGATAAATCCTGGATCGGTCGCGACTGTCCGTCACTCACAGATGCAGAAGCTGCAAGTTGCTTTTACTGCATAAGCCAACCTGACTTGATAGCCAGCTAATTGTGGCTGTGGCACTGCGGCTAACATAGCCAAGTTACTGTTGCTAATGTTTGTGTCCTAAATATGCAAGAGTAATATCAGGGGAATTCTACAGAAGGTGTGTGAACATAAACCTCATTTGAAGCTAACTTCTTACACTTGTTTGTAATTTGGATGTTTGGTGCAACTGTCCACGGTAACAGAACTTGCTGTCTGTAGAACCTGTATTGCAAGGGTTTGTCTCTGTGGTTGTTATGAATGCTCGGTTACCAGCTACTGCATGTTAGTTCGTGTGCCGTGCTGATTAAAAATGCTCCTGGTTAACTTATATGCAGTAATTCTTATCGGTATGCTTGTGTTACTTCGGTAAGCATCAATGTGGCAGTTTCATCATAACGTTGCCCGATTGTAGCCACTATAGTTGAAGCTAACTGGAGAGGTGCTGTATGTGTCCGCAAAGTTGGGCTGAAAAGGCTGCAGTTAGACCAGACGTAGGTTTTGCAGAACTTGGGATAGGTGTTTGGGTTTGTTTATGGCTTGTGGTCGCTTCACTTATCCATGACTGGGATCAGCCGGATACTTCGCAAATATCTGGGCTAGCTCTCTGATTCTACCGTGAAAGCAATCGTGAAACGCAGAAGCTCTAACATGTCCGGTATAACAAACGATTTCTCTGCACTACCGTGACATAATTGCATCCCCCTTTAGAAATTGTTGTGGCTAATAAAAAGCCGAAAAAGGCGGAGATTAAATAGGAAATTCTTTCCTGTAGAAGTGATCGATTCGCTGGCTCCACATCAGCAATTTGTCCACGCTAACGGAACTTACGGTCTGTAAAACCTGTATTATGTTCATAACATAACCGAGCTCTCTAACTGTCGCATACTATCCATAAAGCTGCTTTCACACCAGACGCGAAACAAATTTTTTGTGCGACAGATTAGCTACATTCAAAGTCAATGCAAAGACACGAATACACGCGTTATGGGCGCGTGAAGCAGCTTTCACACCGGACGCAAAACAAATTTTTCGCACAACATATTACATCAAAGTCAATGCAAAGACGCCAAT